TTAAAATGCATTACCTTTTGTGCTGGTTCTTGTGCCCCATTGTTGTCCCAGTTTCAGACTGGTTATGAAACATTGTTACCTTTGCTGTTGAACATATCACAGCTATTCATCTCTACAGTAAAGGTTTTTTTTACAGAAACTTCTACAATTGTACAACATTCTGCAGTTCCACTAGTTCACATTTTAATATTGTAGTGTACATCCCCACAGACACAGCTGCCGTGGAAGCAGAAGAGCATCGTACCAAGAAGTCTTGATGCATGCTCAATCATTCAAGTAAGTAAATCACAAAAAGGGGAACATTTGCCCAAACACCCTGGAGAGGATAAAGGAAAGAAGGGCAAAGAAAAGCCACTTCTTTGCACCACCTTTATTTCTAGATTTTTTTCACACACATTTGCCCCAGCTCTCCTCAATAGTTAACCTTATTTGCTCTCAGTAACAACCTTTCCTCTTCACAGACAACCACCACCCTTCTTAATGAGGAGCAGCTGTGAAGGACCTGAAACCTAAAGGCTACCTACAGATTTTTAAAAACACAATAAATATTCAGTAAATAATTAAACTCTTCTGTGCAAATCTATGCTCGAGGTACAATGCTGAATAAAGTGCTAGATGAGTATCGGAACAGCTAAGACGCATTTTCTCTAAACACAGCCGTGGCTTTCAAACTCTAAAACATGCTGTGGCAAAAATTGGTCGACTCCCAAGGATTGGTTATGCTGTTAAGTGCCAGGAGGATTGCCATGATTTATACATCGGTGAAACCAAACAACCTCTGGCTAAGCGAATGCCACAACACAGAAGAGCCAACTCTTCAGGCCAGGACTATGCAGTCTATTTACACCTACAGGCCAGTGGCTACTCTTTCAGTGGTGCTGAAAGGTACTGTTTCTAAGTTTGGGAAAACCTGCAGTCAGCTGAGACTGAAGAAGTCACTTAGATGAGTGACAAAACGCTATGTCAACATGATTGAGCATGCATCAAGATATCCTATACATAATCTTTCTTCAGAAAACTCCTATACCTTTGTATGCACCATTGTGCATTACCCGTACTTTAATTCACACCTATGACACTGATATACCAATAGAATAATCTATGGTTTGTGTTTGCTCCTTTGAAAGGGGCCAAAATGAAAAGCTAGTAGTAAGGTTATACTTGCAGCTATAAACTGTTCTGTCAGAAACAGCATTAACCTGACAGCAACTGGTATCAACTCTCTTCAGTAATACTGTTAAATATCAACCATTTATATGCTAGTTAAATAACATAATTTTTATAAACATAACTCAGACAGTCAAAAAGCTTCATGGTGCAACTGAACAATGTAACATAGAGCGGAGCAAATATATCACTAGGGCCAAAACTGGACGATATTTATTTAGCCAGTGTTTGTTTATTTACTCATGTATCGGTGTTGGTATTTATAATAGTTGATAAATGAAAATATTGGTCTTCATGCAAATAATGCAAAAATTCTTGCACATGGGAATCTTTTATATCTTTTATCTTTTTGTATATGTGATACATTTTGTCCTACTGGAATGGTTCTATCAGTGGGGTTAGGTTGATCTAAACTGCTATCTGCTACTGACAAAGCTGACGAGCAATATAACTTTAACTGATTATGCTGGTTTATGACACAGCAATATTCTGAGCATGACTTCATTGTCTGGACTTTTAACCAATGTTTAAACCATAAGATTGACAAATAGGTCAGTAAACAGCAGAAGAGTTCAGCGCAAACTGTATTACACAATTGCCAGTGTTGCAGGGTATTTTTTTTTCAATACAATATTTTTTTATTCATAAGTAATATTAACATTAATGGTACTACTAATAATAACAATGACATGTAATGACATATAAAGGACTGCATGTTAGACACAGGCGGTGGTTAGCTCTGTCTGCTCACAGAAAAAGCTCCTGGTTGGGGTCTTTCTCTGTGAGTGTGCATGTTCTCCCTGTGCCTGCATGGATTTCCTCTTGGTATTCTGGTACCCACAAACAAGAGATATGCTTGTTTAGTTAACTGATGACTGAAGAACAAAGAGACCTTCTGCCATTTTGGGCTATTTTGCTGAAAATGACAGGAAACTGCAGCATCACATAAGAGTACGCTCTAAAAA